GGTTTTACAAATAAACCACCTATTTCATGCATTAAAAATTACTCGATAATATGCCTGTTTTGAAAATAAGCCGGTCATGACAATGTCATTTGGGAAAAATCTTAATCTGAAATGTGTTTATGCACGCAGAAAATTGGACACTGTATCAATCTAATTATTCCATTACATTTATGATTCGATTCAAAATGAAATATCTACAAGTATTATAAAATTCAAGAAATTCAATCCAAGTCCAATATTTTGATTTGAAAAAAAGCACGTAGATTGATCTAATCTGTAGATTACAATTTATCTTATTGATTATAAGCCGTAATTATATTCTCGCTACTTACCAGATTTTTGTATTGATAAGTAGCCTGTATTTGAAAAAAGACGGTTTTGAAAATAAGACACCACTTTCTTACCAAAACTTGAAATAAGCCGCAGCTAAATTTCAAGGTTCTGGGGTACGGAAGGGAATTACCGCCAAAAGACTATGTATCTTGCTTTTATTCTTATTATGACTACTAGTACTTCTTTATGCTTTGTTATTATTGTAATTATAATTATGTCACTTTATTGTTTCCATATTCGTCTTTATTACATTTCACTTTGACTTTTATCATTCTTCATTTTGTCTTTACTTCTATGTTGCATTATTCTTGTAAATTCATTCTACTTTCTTTTAAACTGAAACAGTTTCTTTAATAAATTATTAGCATTATCTCTACTACGAATGTTAATTCAATCACACTAACAATGAAGCATGAAGACGAATGGAAGTTGTCAAACCGTCAAAATTTAGTGCGGCATTATAACGCTAGGTGGCGTGTTGTTCGCTACGAGTGTTGGTAAAACTAGGTAAGCAAACCCGGGTCGGGTTATTTGAGATTCTTCAAAACGCCATAATACTTTATCAATCGAACTTCAGAAGGCCGGATCCGATCTCCCGATCCAATGATGGAAACTCCATATTTATTTCCTCTGGGCATACAGGAATAGCGGCTTCTTTTTTTCAGACATAACTTTATACTATACTGAATATGTTCATTTAAAGGTCGACCCTCTTTTTGTAAGAGTAAAGGTCAAATAAGTAAATGTAGTACGTATAGTAGGAAGAAAATTTAAATTTGATTCTATAGAAGAATTTGAATCTAACTCAACCCCCCCCCCCCCCCCCGAAATAGGATTTCATTGGCGTCGCAAGTTAATTGAAAGTTGGGGGGGGGTAAGTGTAAGAATTTTTTTTGGACCTTCAAAAAAAAAAAAACTGACAAGCAAAAAAAAAAATTGTCCATTTTTTAAACACAAAAATCCTATTTCGTGAGGAGGGGTGGGGTGGGGATGGGTTGAAGGTTCGAACTCCAGTTCCAAAGTTAATTTTCCAAATACCACCACTTTCCCCATTTTAAACCTTTACTGCATCGTATCCATGGAAAGTGGGGGGGGGGGCGGGGGGCGCTAAACCTACGCAGGAATGTTCAATGTCAATACTAAGTCTATCTTTGGAAAGAAGCGGGGGCTAAGCCCCCCTCCCCGGTTCCGACGCCCATGTATTTTCAAGTTTGGACAATTTCCTGGGGTTTATTTTGCGCTTGTCAAGTTGTTTTCAGCTGGGTAGCTTGAATATTTATTCTTTTGTTGCCCCCCTCCCAACGTTTAAAAACGATGCTACGTCACTGTTCTCTCGACTGAAAAAATATATCTCTACTAAAGTTATTTGTTGGATATTTGAATTACAGTTTAATTGTTATAAAAATGTTAAATATTTTGATACTAGTTAACCCTTATAAATTGGGTTGTTTTTCAGAACCTTTCACTGAACTGAACTTTATTTCACGACAGATAATAACTGTACATATATGCTGTTGCGCGTGATTCTAGGTACAGGACTTTGCAAAGGAGTGTGGAGCGTTATGGGTAGGCAGGCGCGGATCCAGATTTTTTTTCCAGGGTGGGGGGGGGGGGGCAACCAAGTAAAAAAAAATCCATTCCCAGAAATTTCTTACATTCTTACAAATTACATATAATTACAATAACAAAGCATAAAGAAGTAGTCATAATAAGAATAAAAGCAAGATACATAGACTTTTGGCGGTAATTCCCTTCCATACTGGGGTATTTTAATGACTTATTGAATGAAAGTTATGGGGAATAAGACACCAAAAGGAAGCTTCGGTTTCTATTCATTGGCACCAACCTTAGGATATAATCTACCTTTTTTTCACTCAAACACGACTATATATCACCTTTAGTAGATTCCTCTGTGTACTGGTGTATGCTTAAATTTAAATCTAATGAATGAATTTTAACAAAGAAAAATTAGACTGAGACCGTTGTTAGAAGTTGAACAATGGAGAAAATTGTTTTACTTAAATCACTGAGATTTGAAATCAAATCATGTTTCTTTTATGGCCTACACCAAGTTTAAAGGTTGGAACTTTTTCTTTTATTAAATCTATAACACATGCAGCTTTATCATACTCCAGCTTTAAAAAATAAAATATCGTGTTTAAGAATAATTCTCATAAGACAGACAATTTCGTCCTTACTTTCGATACAATATCCATCTCATTCATAAACGTACATTGCAATTTATTTTGTTTTTACATGTAATAGTATACTTTACTTACAAATCTAATATTTTTCCACAATTAGAAACAAATCTTTGAATCAATTTGTATCCTTGTATTTGATTTAAAAAAAGAGTTTAAAACAAAACAGAAGGTCCAGGGACCACATCCTTCTCCTGAGCATCTTGCTAGGTAAAATCAGAAAGTTCAATATTGAAAGTTTTAATTTATTTATTTAAAAAGTTGGTTCGATAGAGGAGGGGTTGGGGATTTGAAGAACTTTTTATCTACAATTCCTAATAATGCTCTTGAAATAATATAACACAAAATGGCTTATCTGTTTATAAGATTTTTTTAAATATATATCCATAGACTTCATATTCATTTGCTACGATCCACTTAAATGGCTCCTCTTTTCTCCTGATTGATCATTATTAACAAAAAAAAGAAATATACATAACCTTTTTGGTGTTTTATATCGATGATCAATCATGAGGAATTTTAATAATTTTTACCATGTATTCCTATGTAAAACCTTGGTCACTCATAGTCGCCCAGCTCTTCAACCGGGTTTATGATTTGAACAAGCTTGAAGCTACTCTACCAGAGGATGTTTCAGTATTACTATTACCAATAATGGCACTGTTGTCATTGAGACGAAGATTTTTTAAAGATTTTCCTCTGCATCAAAGGTTGATATCAGATTGTGCTACTAACCCGGGGGGTAATGATTTGAACACATTTGAATCTTCACCACCAGCGTATTCTTCCAAATGAGTTTTATTTTTCCTGATCCCCATTATGTCCACACCTTAAAACTGAGGCCCAATTCTCGAGAATAGTTTTAAAAGATACAAGTTTTTTTTTATTAATAATTCATAATTGTCTCCCCTTGGGAGAGGGCTATAACGTGGTCATTCATTTGAACAAACTTTATTCGCATTCATTAAAGGATAGTTTGGTGCAAGTTTGGTTGACATTGGCCCTGTGGTTCTGGAGAGGATGAAAATGTGAGAGTTTACTACAACAACAACGCCAAAGACAATGACGCAATCGACAACGAAGAGAGAAAAAGACAAATTTGATCAGAAAAACCTCACTGAATTTATCGTAAAAATAATTTCAACAAAATTAGCGTGATGAGCAAATTCACGTTTTAATTATGAACAATCATAAATATAAATTTTGATTAAATATTGGTAATATTTTATATACCAAAGACGAAAATAATTCATAAAATATAAATAATTCATAAAATATATAGGTCAATAACATATATTTACATTTGCTGTGTTTTTCTAGAAAGCCAGTTGTGAAATTGATTTCAATACCATTTTCGAATATACCAACCCGACAAAATATATACGGTGAAATGTGCGCAAGCATGGCGTCACAGTGAGACTACATAGACGTTAGTAAAGTAACAACTACTATTAGTGAGTAACTAATAGGGCAGTGAGAAATTCAAACATTGTAAAACATTACAGACCAATAATTCACACAAAACTTTTAAAACATTCCTTAAATAACGGTTTCGATGGCAATTAATAACATATTTAAAGTTTTATCTCGAATATAAATGTTTCATATTTTGTGTCCAACAATATATTTGAGAAAACATCAAGCATAAAATGTCTTCTGAGGCTGGCTGGTAGGCCTGCCAACTGCGAGAATTTCCAGCAATTTGGATTAGCTTAGTTCCTCCGTCTCTACCATGCACACAATGGCAGAGTCATCCAACTCTGAAGCTGGGACTTTGGGCGTACCATGTGATTTAATTTGGTACCAACAACAGTGCTTTGTTAGAGGTATTAAACATGTACTAAGAATTTATTAAATGTTTGTTGCCATGAAGAAATCTTATCTGGTTACGAAACATGACTGCTATTTAAGATAAACACTTCTATTGGGGAAATGAAAAAAAATATCATCATAATCTGAGACATATCATTAGGTGTTATAGATTTGATTAATTCGATTCATGTGTTATAACATTTTGGGCAAACCATTCAACATTGATTTCGACGTACAATATAATAACGAATAAGAAAAAAAATTCCGTTGTAATATACATGTATGTTCTCACAAAATTAAAAAAAAGTTATGTTTATTTATTATACGATATAGTGTATGTCTGAAATGTAGGTAAAATATTATTTTATTTTTAGCTAACTGTTAACTGGTACATATGTACATGTATCTTAAATAAATAAATGTCAAACAGTACACAAAAAAGCAAGAACTATTAAGATAAAGGGTGACAAAGTTTGACAGACAAACTCTCGCAGTCTCGGTGTCGCACCCAACTGTTCTATAATAGACAGTAAAATACTGTATAATATTGTAATCATATATTAAAAAAACAATATTATCAAGGAAATCAAAGACAATTCTAAATCTTTATTATTTCAATCTATCATTTAACTAACAAGGATATATATCTTTTTACATTTTTCTTAAAGAATGTTTCATATTTCTCAGGTCACAAAAAGATGAATATGAAGTTCCTTTCCATCTCTCTGATTTCTGTCATTTTTTAGAATATTCACAGGGTTTAATAGGAGGTGGTGATGGCGGTGGAGCTGGATGTGAAGGCGGACATGATGGTGAATTACCTGTGAATCAAGAAAGATTATGAATTGATTTAGTCACACTATAGCAGTCCTTCCATGTATATATTTTGTCACCGAAAAAGATAACAAATATACATATTGCTTAAAAATATCTACCGTATATACTACAATATGAGGTCAGAATTAGTAAATCTATTGGAACAACTTTACTTTATGAAGTCCAAGAAAACTAAAGAAAAATAAAGTGAAAAATTTAACGGTTTAAACTTCAGGCTTTTTAACATTTGATTTTTTTGTAGAATTGCATATAGAATGAAATTGATGTATTGATTTACATAATATACGTATAATCATTTTTGTGGAATGGAAGCGCCATGGCCTTGATTAAATGCTTGTATACTTTAAATTAGATTTGATCAAGTTCCGACCCCATGGCATGTAATATTTGCCTCTTCTAATTAATACACGCCAAACAATTTCCAATGATAATACAAGCGCGATAACTCTTATACTCACAGCATTCCAATGAACATAAAAATTGTAAGTAAAACTTCATTTTATTTAAACAGATTTTCTGGATCTAAGGAATTTGCCCTGGCTAGAAGGATATATTGTCGAAATTTGTATCAACAAATGACACTTCATAATATCTCTATAAGTCTAGAAAAAGAAATGTATTTTTTTTTCTAAATGATTTTGTGTGTGTGTGTGTGTGTGTGTGTGTGTGTGTGTGTGTGTGTGTGTGTGTGCCTTTTAAAAACTATTTCCGAATTGTTCACCAAAAATTTCCCAATAATCTCAAAATTCTTAATTGTTCTTTCTTACTGGTCATGAAAAGCTCAACAACGATCGCTTTTTACTCTATTTAATTTATTTTTAATTTAAACTAATTAAACCATGGTTCTGACAGACCCTATTCCAATTTTGTATGAATCGTATAATTTGGAAGTGAAAACCACGCTATAGAAATAAATACAACACGGACAAGTAGGAAGTGTTGAAATTCATTTTTTTTACCTGTAGTTTGACCTTTTCCATCCATCGTAACCCGTTGTTAAACAGCTTCTCAATTTAAGAAAACCTTGAAAAGACATATAGGATAACCAGTTAGAATTATAAATTTTACAATATATCTAAGGATTTATCCTAAGGTAATGTATTTATGAGATTTGGGGTACATTGCAGTTGCATTTTCGTCGGGATTTGGAATGGTCAGGTTGACGTTAAAAATACAGGTCTATGAGATCTAGTGTTATTTAAAAATACGTGGATAATATCCCTCCTCTTTTTTTCAAGATTTAAGACCAACCTGTAAAAACATGTATTTTTTATGATGTTTGAAGTTTCATTCATTTGTTTGAATTGAACTGGGTACATCGATATCACTCTAATTGTTTTTAGAATTGGAAGGAGAAAATGCAGTGCAGAAAAAAAATAACAAGTTTCTTCATTTGCAGACTTGAAAAAAGAAATTAAATGTGAAGATGTACTAAACTGAGCCTGATAATTGATTGATTGATTGTATATTGTGTAACGTCCCTCTCGAGAATTTTTCACTCATATGGAGACGTCACCGTATGCCGGTGAAGGGCTTCAAATTTTGACCTTTACTCGGCACTCAGGGCCATTGAGCAGTGAGGGATCTTTATCGTGCCAACGCCTGCCGCTGACACAGGGCCTCGGTTTTTTTTAAAAGGTCTCATCCGAAGGACCCGCACTTTTCACTTCAAAGTGCCGAGCGCATGGCAAATAAACAGTTGCTACCCATTTTTACGACTAGGTCAGTCGCGGCCGAAATACGAACTCACGACCTCCCGATCACGGAGCGAGCGCTCTGCCGACTGAGCTACCGTGAACAGTGTGAGCCTGATAAGAAGTGTCTTTCTAAACACAAAAGCTAGGAAACTGTATTTTATCAAGAAGATCAGCTAATTTATTTTGTGCGATAAAAGGCCATTTCTAGAATTCCTTTTCTTCCACTTTCATTTTCAGAGGTTCTCGCAGACAGACGCAGTTTGCTGGAAACAAATCTTACATGGTGCCTGGAAATTTAAATTCAAACCAAAGAAGGATAAGTTGTTGTGCTTCGGGACATCGCTTTGAAAAAAAAATTATCATGTTGCCATGGAAAAACAGTAAATGGACTGTACTTATCATTACTTTGCCTTTCATTTCACAAAAGGTCTGTAGCTCCTTCCAAATGTTCACCTGACATTTTTATTTTAAGTTTTAAAGAACAAATGCATACAATAAATAATTTCTATAATTCATGGTTAATGATTCATATTTTATTTCAATGTTGCGTAAATGTTATGTACATATCTCATTAGAATTAAAGCATCAAGGAAAAAGTGTCAGGAAAATGATATACCCTCAAAATGAAAATTCATACAAAATAATACCTATGGAGTAAGATCACTATTCGCTCTAATTACTGTAAGACATCCTTTACTGTTGTATACCATGAACCCCTGAATAGGAGATTGACCCATCTGCTGCCACACCTACTGCATAGATCTTTCCAAACCCTTAAATTGTGTGAAGGGGGAGGTGGATTTGACATGCATTCCTTATAAAAATCTCAAATATGTTTAATGGGATTCAGCTCTACCGAACACTAACGAATGTAAGAAGAGATTAGACTCTGTCAATTGTATGAAGTAAGCTGTCCAACAATTCATACGGAGGTTCCATTTCAATATGCCTTCAAACATCAAACTTTTTTCATGTCCGCTCAGTAAAACATTAGAAATATTCGATTTGTTTCGTATTGTTTGTAAGGGAACAATATTGTTAAGGGGATAACAATAAAATGGTTGACCTTTCCTATATACCCTAGTTTATCCTGTTTAAAACTGAGTCCAACTTTGCAAGATGTTCATAAAAATGTTGTATAAAAAACCTGTACTTTTCTTTGCCTTACCTGTATATTCTTTATCTTTACAAATCTCAAGAAATGAAACTTTTGATACTATTATTTTTCAGTATTACATGAAGAAAGCTAAAACAAAAAAGAAAAATAAGACTTACCTTAAACTAGTAGTTTTACGTCCGGCTATTACGATTGTTTAGTGAGAAGTGGGTGTGCTGGGATTATCGCACCATGCACTTCTTACACATTACTCATATCACGTCGTTGAAAATCTCTTATCTATGACTTAATTTCCTATATTTACTGACAGTTACACATGCACAAAATTATGCGTTTGGACAATGACCTGGGGACTCTGCAATGACAATTTTAATCATATACTTAGTAGTAAATACACTGATTCTGCACTGTGCTACACGGGTTACGTCACAATACCCAATATCACTTATCGGACCGGCGTGCAGAAATCCACATTAAACGAAAAGTAACGCCTGTATAAAGTTTCAAAGTTCTTTTATATTTTATTTAAATATGCAATCATGTAAAATAATTGTTTAATACCATCAATGGACTTTTTTCAAGTAGCTAAAATTGTATCTTTTTTTTAATTAAAAGGTTATAAAGAAGCACAAAACATTCTTCAATGACCATATAGAATAAAAAGGCATGCATATTAAGTATTTTAGATATATGATAGAAAGAATACTTCATACTAAAATCCATATCATATGTCATATCAGCTCTCAAGCTGATATGGGGCCACTAAGGCTGATATGAACATATGATATCGAATGTAGTATGTAATATTCTCTCTAAAATGGGCACTAAACAATTGCATGGCATAATATACATTTACTGACTGAGTTCGAGGGCAACATGCGTTTTGTCGGACCCAAGAACCAAACTGTCTGTCTAAAGGCAGTATACATGTATGACAGGCGAGGGGAGATATCGTCTAGTGAGCTCACAGTACCTATAGTTTTGATTATTTGAAGCATGGGCTGTTTAGATAGTTTACGGGTACATGTGCGAAGCATATACATGTAACTGTATAATAAAAGGAATTGTGTTCAATTAATTTTTCATATATATATATATATATATATATATATATATATATATATATATATATATATATATATATATATATATATATATATATATATATATATATATTATATAAAATTAGGGGAAATGAAATTATATAAATTATTCTCCTGTATGTTGAAATCGGCTCTTTTACTTTATCTTACATATGTATATCATATACACTGCAATGAAGCACATGAAATTTTCAATAATTAATAAGTACCATAACGCAATTTTTTTTTTTAAATGATTAAAAGTTATATGTTGCTTCTAAAATCCCTGTATTAAGAAAACAAAACAAAATTAAGTTGCCTCTTTGATTAGAATTTGCATCAAGTCGTCGGTTTTAACTTAAATGGATATTTTGGACGGTAAAATTAATCTTCAACGAGCATTTTGATGTTCCTATACAGGAATCCTCTTGAGTTTCAGAAAGTCATGTTTTCAGAATGTCGACAAATGCTCAGTCATTACTGTTTTGTTAATGCTTTGGTGCTTTAGATTTCACATGTGACAGGTATGCTAGCACTATTTATGTAGTTCAATACACTTATACAACATTAAATATCAAATTATCGTTCTTAGCATCAACACAAAAGGAGAACAAGCTAAGGGATTACAATTGAATTATTTATAAGATCAGTTTCCTTCCTCATTTAGGATTCTTCTCTAACAAGTGAGACTATTTTAAAAAATGAAAAAAAAAATACGCCTTTAAGGAATAGTTTGAAATCTTGAAAATCAATTAGACATTAATTTCGATTTTTTTTTGGTTCAATTTAGATAGGAGTTTCAAACAGGTAACATCAATGATAAGGAAAACATTCGTGGATATTCAAATTTTCACCTCATCAGCATCCAAAACAAATGAGGTACAATTTAAGGAACAGCATATTAAATTATTTGAAGAAAAAATAAGACAAATTTTTGAGTCATATGCTCCTTCAGAAAAAGAAAAAGCACGTATTCTTCCACTTGCCACATTTATAGGAGTGTTTGCTGTCATATTTCTTGTGGTACTCGCTTTCGTGTTTTATTTGGTACACAGAGGAGCCAAAAAATGCGGGATTTCGAAAAATCACAAATCTATGATGTCGACTGACTCTGACCATTATGACAACTTACACAGCGTCGATCAAGCTTTACTATTGACCGACGATGAAGGTTTAATCTTCCAAGGTCTTGCAGAAGTTAGATTCAACTATGATAGCAAAAGAGAGCATTACCTATTTGGATTTCAGTCAAGGAAAGGGGGTCAAATTTTATCATCTTCCACGACAGTTCCTCATAAAATCGAAACAGATAAAACGGATGGTAGATCGAAGACAACAGGAATTCATAACAACAAGAATTTCAAGGGAAAAGAAAGTTATGTCAAAGGTCCAGAACAGTTGGATTATCTGGAAATGAGAGACAAATCCACGAAACCTTCGACCAGTAATCCATACCTTTTGGCGGTATCTGATGACTATTTAAGTGACGGCGCTTCTCTGGAGAAAGAAAATTCCGGGTATCTGACAAACTAGAAGTTCTTTTCCAAGGAAGTTTTTTTTCCCTTCACTATTAGAAGTTTTGAATGATTTCATTTTATAGAACTGACAATTAATCTACTTACCAAAAGAGATAAGCACATGCTTTTCAATATAAAGGAGCATCGACACATCTTAAATCAAGATCTGATTAAACTTAAAAGAATTTTTTTTCATTGCAAAAAAAAAAAAAAAATTCAAAGATTGAATAAACTTCTCTTGATATTCAAAATTCATTCAGCTTTGAAATGATGCTTTATTTTTCCCTGACTGCTTTTATCGTGAACAACCATGTACATAGCCATAATCCGTCTTATTCTTCCTATTGTATGAACCATAACAATGAAAAGGAGGAATGTCGTGAAAATGAATAATCGTCATATCAGTTTTCCAGAAACTGAATAGCATCAAATGTATAAGTTTTGACTACACAGGTATTTTACGGTCACATGGGTTGTGCAGTGAACAGACTGTTTGCTTTTGAGTTATTTTGTCACATAAAAAATTATTGTGCAGAAGACCTTTCTAGAAAAGAAAAGTCTTAACGTTACCTTCTATTTACATTTTTTTATTGTTTCACACATCAATGTCTTGATGTTTATTTTCTTTAAACATTTTATCCAAATATACAAAATCTATTGTTACATGTATAACCATTTCATAAAACTAAATGTACATGTACAAGTAGAACTTTATTGAAAGTTAAATGTGAATATTGCTTTTGTTTGTTTAACCAGTTCGATAGTTACATAAAATTTCCGACGAACAGGGAAGCACATTTTTGCAAAATTCCTAAGAAAGAAATGTAGGTTTTTAAATAAGTTAACAGCAAATATAGAATTTAAAACAAAAAGGTTAATTCCTGATGTGTGGAAAACAGGATTGTTTAAGGAAATTATGTTTTTTTTTCCATTTTAGGAGACTAGTGTTGCACAAATGCATGATTTATTTTCCAAATCGCATTTTTGTTACACAGCATTATTAAAAGCTATACTGAATGATTTTTTAAAAAATGTAACCTTCGTCTAAAAAGATGTTAAAATTTGTGTCATCCTGATATTTTGAATGATGTATATATACAGATTAAAGATGTAAAAATATTTTTCATATTTTGATTTTTAGAATTACAATTGTAATACATGTCCATTTATTACATTATATGATAAATATAACAGTTTGATTTTTAATGGTTTTTGTCGTTTATAATTAAATAAATATACAGTGTTTAGATGCAAATTAAAAATGTATTATTTGAAGAATAAAATAAATCAGGTTCTATGATTTTTATTTTATTCTGAGTTGATGACTGAATAACCAGCTGGTGTTGTTGAGTTTAAACTAGCCTTACTCTTCGGGTTTAATTGTCTGCTAAAGATCTTTATGAATAACATCGATAAATGATTATTAATTAAGTGTCCAAGACAGGTATTGTCTACTTAAAATCATTATGATATGAAGAACATTTTTAGCTACAAACTTCAGGTAAACAATTCTCTGCTCAAGATTTTAGGAGAATCATTGTAAATGTTTGCACAAAATCCCATAAATTTTTTCCCTTTTTTTCTAAGAGTGATCTCTCCTTTATATTTTGTATCTTTGAATTATCTGTCGCAATTATCACATTTTTGGAAAATGACAATTTCATGACAATTTCGTTCATTGAACATGTGTGACTTAACTAATGGTTAGTGTTAAATGTCACTTGTATACGTTTAATAACAAATAAAGAATCAGTGAACCATGAAACGTAATTGAACAACATAAATCCATATTTATAGTTTGTAGGCATCAGTATTCTAAACAAAATGTATTTCATAGCAATATAATGAATATAAAGAAGAAAAGATTAATTAAGTAAATTTACAGCTGCAAAATTTGTGAACAAACGGATGAAATATTAGATAAAGTCACATAGTGAACTAATCTTGGTTTTGACAAGAGCTATATGCCAAAAAAGCCTTTGACTTTTTATCTGGCATTAAGGAGGGACAAATCAGATTTAAATTTGGTAAACATAGTTACATGTATATAGAAAAAAATGGAAGAGAAATGGGTTATTTCTGTTTCAATTTTTTTCTACAGATAATTGATACGATTTTCATTATGAATAAATATAATTCACCTATACCTGGCCGAGAATATATAGAAATTTCAGTCTAATTCTAAAAAGCAACTTGCAAATTGACTATGCAAACATCAGACTAATTGAAATTTAAAAAAAAAAATCACCTTTAATGATAAAACATTAGTATTATTAACATTGAAAAGAAAACATATTTTAGTAATCATCTCATCCTTATAAATAGAATATACATGGAAGTCTATTTAATAGAACAAATAATCAACAGTTAAACAATCTATGTAGCTTACTAAACAGAATATATAGAAAACACTTTTCAATTAAATCTATTTTAAGATTGTTTTAGTGTTGTTTCGGATGTTTTCATAGCCATGTCTTTTTGAGCGTAATATGCTCCACCCATGGCGAAAACATGAATATTTTCTGGAACTGCTATTGTGACTGGCATGCCCTTAAACCACTTTTCTTCAGCCCTTTGCCAGACCATTTTCATGTTAGAATAGGTACCAGTCATCACTACACAACTGACATCCTTAAATGCTTCTT